CAACAGATACCGATACAAACAAACACCCAACAGGAACTGATATAAACACCCAACAGATACCGATACAAACAAAGCAACAGGAACTGATATAAACACCCAACAGGAACTGATATAAACACCCAACAGATACCGATACAAACAAACACCCAACATACTTGGCAAACACCTCCTTCAAACAAGTGGTGTTTTACATTGATTATTTTGTTCTTCTCTGGTAAACACTTTTAATGGGTTAATGATGAGGACGGGAACAGTAATGCCGTTTACCTGTTGCAGGGTCTAGACTGGTTAGTGTAGTTATGTCTCATGTATGACCTCAGTGTACGTGTTTAAACAACTTAGTTGTTGAAAACACTCACAAATATAACATTACACAATCAATAAGTTAAGATATTCCGCTATATTTGTCATACCCTCAGGAATTTCTCGTTTACGAAAGGATTAAATCGTGTCTCTCCGGTACACCCACGTTCAGTGGTTGAGGGGAAGGGGTGGATGGGTGGATGTGAGAGGAGTAAAACTTCCATCTAATTTCGACAAGTCAAATATTTAACAGCATCATGTCTTGAACGCAGAATTACTCCCGCAAACACTTAAATAAGTTAAGTGCCTCATTGTCATATTTCTGTGTGTGTGAGACAGTGTTTTCCTGTTTACTATATACTGAGCACAGATTCACGTTAAATTTAATTTTAGAGTAACAATAATAATCCATAAGGGTCAAATTCTCTCATTCAAACATAATTCTACATCTCAAATTGAAAAACATAAGACGTCCATGATAGCAATTGAAATTCATCGTCTGATTATGATTTTACGTATCCATATGGTTTATTGGAAACGATAGTGTAGTGATGATTAACTTTTGACAGTTATATTAATGCAAAGAAATTTACATTGTAACTTTAATTTTATAATGAAGTGTAAGAGTTTTTTTTTATATCTTATGATTGCATCAGTGAGAGAAAACTACATCTTTAACATTAAAGGATTTGTCGTTCAGGTAGGTGAGGTACAGAATACATACAGGTGTATAAGGTAAGTCTGATATGGCTTTGTTTAGGTTTTCTGAAGGAACTGCTTCTTTCTCAGAGTAGTAATGTAGATCACCACCTTTAAGAGTTCCGTGCACTACATTCAACAGGTCAGGCGTTAATTAAATCAGATTAGCGTTCGGCAGACAGTTGCATTATGCATCACAGATCGTCAAGTGATACGCTCATCACTGATGCCAGATGTGTGAGCTTCGGTATAATATTATTTTAAGAAGGTTAGAGGGAATTATAAGCTACATATTACACTGTATCATGTGGAGAGTGTATTTTGCAGTCATTTGTGTTTGAAATTTATTAATAAATGAGTCTTTATCTGCAACGAAGCAACTCGTGGACGGCCAAGACTGAAAGTTGGTTTAACATTATACAGAATGGACGTTGCCAGAATTATAATTACCATCTCTCGTACTCGTCTTATTGACAGGGTACTTTTAGCCCCTATTAAATGGAAAATTCTTTTACCTTTAATCCTATTCGAGTCTCAGTGCTATCGGGCAGTTTGGGGCGGGATGACTGGCAATTTTCTGGGGTATCTCTTACCTCCTCTCGCTCCCCGTATATAAATCTATACTGTTAGTGTACTATACATAACCTCTTGTTGCTGTCCGCACCCTCTGAACCATACTCAGGGACCATCACCCAACATTCCAAGTTTGGTAAAGGTTACACCTCAAGCTGCCGGTGCAGTTTTAGTAAAATATTTTTTTTAAGATAATTAATGGAAATATTTTACACGTTTATCACAAGTTAGTAAGTGTATCCCTCTTTGGTAAGAATCAAGCTCGTCAGGGAAATGAAACAATTTACATAACTGTTGATCAGCTGAACATCAGGAGAATCAACTAGTGTTACCACCACATGACAGCCAAGCGCTCCATGACTCTAGCTAGACCAGAGACTTAAAGCTAGTCACTTGATGCAAATGACTTCCAAATAACTCCAGCAGATTAAGATTTTTGTTTGACATCTCGAACTGACTCTGACTGACATGTGAAAAAGAGAGTTAGATACATGGTTCCAGAGTCTTTGATTCTGTCAGGTGTCATGTCAGTTGGCTTTGAGTGACATATATAGGACACATACAACGGGTCCTTACTGCATAATTATCCCAGGTAACATCTTAAAGTAACAATGATTGACATCTATTGGAGACAGTAACGAGGGTACTACCATACAAGGCAACTCTGGGTTGTTGATATTAGTTTATGCCGTCGAAGTGTTGATGTTCAGGGTTTTTATTGTATTTCAATGGTTGTAATGTTGCAAGTGTTGAAGCTATGACACCAATGTATAGAATATGCTGCTATGTGTAGAGAGAAGAATTTAATATTTGTTTTTCAACTCCAAACTTTGGTAGTCTCGAATGTCAACAAAGATGATACAGTATTTTCTCAAGCGTAAACAAAGGAAACATGTGAGGTAGGTCATGATCTTCGAAATTTACAGAATGTTTCGAAAACGTTTTGAAAATACATTCGATTTTTTTGTTTAAATTTCCCATTTTTTTCAAATTTCCTTTTTTTTTAATTTCCAAAATTTCTAGGGAATGTACATAGCTCTCTAATTGGTCCATGATTAGATCTCTCTGATTAGTCCAGGAAATGGAGCTCTCTGATTGGTATAGGGAATAGAGCTCTCTCTTTGGTCCGGGGAATGGAACTTTCCGATAGGTCTAGGGAATAGAGCTTTTTGATTGGTAATGTGAATGAAGCTCTCAGATTGGTCCAGGGAATGGAGCTCTCTTATTGGTCCAGGGAATGAAACTACCTCACTCCCAAGTATCGTTAGATTAGTTAATCTTCTGGTGAAATAAGCTGAGGTGTCTAATATTCAGATGAAATAAGCTGGGGTGTTTAGTTTTCAGGTAAAATAAGCTGGGGTATCTAGTATTCAGGTAAAAAAAGCTGGGATGTCTAGTTTTCATGTGAAATAAGCTGGGGTGTTTAGTATTCAGGTAAAACAAGCTGGTGTGTCTATTATTCAGGGAAAAAGCTGGGGTGTGTATTCTTCATGTGAAATAAGCTGGGGTGTCTAGTATTCAGGTAAAAAAGCTGGGGGTGTTTAATATTCAAGTAAAATAAGCTGAGGTGTCTAGTATTCAGGTGAAATAAGCTGGGGTGTCGATTCTTCAGGTGAAAAAGCTTGAGTGTCTATTTTTCAGGTGAAATAAGCTGGGGTGTCTATTCTTCGGGTGAAAAAGCTGGAGTGTCTATTCTTCAGGTAAAATAAGCTGGAGTGTCTATTATTCAAGTGAAATAAGCTGGGGTGTCTATTCTTCAGGAGATCCGATGAAACCTGCTTATCTCATGCACGGAGATATCGTGGAAGAGGAGCGTCAAACATGGGTCTTCACTATCGTCGACACAGCCACAAAAGTCACCAAGAGGTTACATGAAAATCATTCTGTATCTAATTAACTTTTTGTGTATTATTTTGTATTTCTATAACAATATTAATTTAACAGATTTATAGTGCATTCTTTTGTATTTCTTAACCACATTATTTCACAACATCGGTTAACGTTCAGTTAACTTGAGGTGGTTTGGTTGGTGAATCTTACGATGGGTTAAGATGGGGAGAGGGTGAATCTTCAGGTGAGCACTTGAGAGCAGGGTTAATTTTATGTGATTTATTTTGGAATATATCTTTACAGTAATTCCTTATTTATCTTATTTTGATTACTTCCTGTTGTATTATAACTTCATCTAACTTATTCTTTACCAGTGTACATAACACACTGTCTATGATAACTATGAACCAATGTAAATTTCTTTGATGATCTTACTTACATTTATATTTCTCTGTCTAAAGTTGATTTCAAGCGTTCACTATTCCTCTCACTCCCTCACAAACTCACTCATTCGCTTACTCAGAAGCTCACTCATATTCACAAATTTAATCATTCTTTAATTCAAACATTCTTTCACTCCGTCACTCATCCACTCACTCACTTACTCACTCAATCACAAACTTACTCACGCTCACAAAATCATTCACACTCACTCATTCACAAACTCACAAACTTACTCTCTCATAAAATCACTTGCTTAAAAAGTCACTCTCACAAACTCACAAACTCACTCATACACTAATTCACAAACTCACTCTCACACACTTAAAAAGTCACTCATAATCTCTTCCAATCAAACTCATTCATTCTCAGATTCAAACAATATCTCACAAACTCCCTCACTCACTAACAAAATCACTCAGTCAGAAACTCACTCATCACAAACTCACAAAATCACTCGCTCACAAACTAACTCACTCAAAAACTCACTCTCACTCAAAAAATCACTCTCATCCTCTCTCAAACTCACTTTCATATACTCAGAATCACTCACTCACGAACTATCTCACTCAAAAACTCACGAACTTATAAACTCATTCACTCACTCACAAAATCACTCACTCAATCACAAATTCATTCTCACAGAGTCTTGCTCACAAACACACTCATAATCTTATTCATAAAAATGACTCACAAAATCATTCACCCTTTCACAAACTCTCCGGCTAACTCAATGTCACTCACTCACTCACTCACTCACTCATAAACTCACTCGCTCACTCACAAACTCACAATCCCACTCAGATTCACTCACTCATAAACCCACTCACTCACTTACAAACTCATTCACTCACTCACAAACAAACTCTCACGTTTAGGTCACTGACGCACTCAGCAACTCACTCACTCACTCACCAACTTACAAATTCAATCAGTCATATACTAACTCATTCACTCATAAACTAACTTACTCATAAACTCACAATCTCACTCACAAACTAACTCAAATTCACTCACTTACATATCCACTCATACACTTACAAACTCACTCACAAACATACAATCTCACTCACTCACTCACTCACTCACTCACTCACTCACTCACTCACAAACTCTCTCCTTAAGGGAATCTCAAGAGGTTAATGAAACATCAATTTATTAGAAAAGAGAGTTTATTTATATTCTTAAAATAGTTGTATATACATTAACCTAAACAAGACATGTTATTAGTGGAGTAATGAAGATGTGTTGACAAAACTGAGGCCATTTTTGACGAGACTGTTTTAAGTGAACAATTCTTATTTTACTAAGTTTACGTTTACGTCAATTACCAGTGTACATAAACGATTTACCATATTGCATAGATCATTTATCAAATTACATAAATCCTTTACCAAATTACGTAAGTCATTTATCACAATACATGTCATTCACCTAATTACAATAAGTCATTTATCACATTATAGAAATCATTTACCAAATTAAGCTTCATTTACATTCGCTATCTACCTCTCATAACCTGACTTGTAAAACAAAGATTTATTTTTACAAATATATAAATGGGTTTACTTTTTAAATAGACCTGTGAACATACAGACATATTCCTATATCTTACAATATGAAGTAATATTACCTACTGGCTTTTTGTTTTGGTCATTATATTCAAATAATTTAATCAGTGATAAACAACAAGAATTATTGACTACCGATCAGACAATACATTCAGATTACCATTCATACAGTGGAGTTCTGATTACCATAATTGAACTCTGAGCACCTTTCAGATTAATTCTGAATAACGATTAGAATTCTGACTTCAGTTTAGACAACATAATTCTAACAACCTGTAAGGCCATAGAATTTTGTTTAACATCCAAACAATTGAATTCTGACTCACCATTCATGCACAAGAAATCTGACTTTCGTTTGTAAACACTAGTAACTGACTATCCTGAAGGAGTTTACGGTGACAAGGAGCTTCATCTCCTCTCCGCCACAGAGCCGCACCTCCTGACTGACCAGTGATGTACTGTACGTGTAGAGAGATAATGACTTACATGGAGTGTGTGGCACTTAAGTTGGCCCTAGCTGTTGAGGGCCAAAGTGGCACTGACACTTAACACACTCACTGCCAACGTCTGTACTTGGAGCACCAGTCCCCAGAATATTCATGAACTTCGCCTTTCTATCAGCAGGGCCTTATGAGAGTGCGGCGTGATACCGTGTTCACCTTCCTCTGGAAACATTTGACAGCAGACGAGCACGACACATCATGAGGCTTGGAATCCATAGTTTATTATTTTTTTTAATACTGGTTTATGACTGGGTTTTTTTATCCATGATTGTTCTGTAACCCTTTCATGGTCTTGTTTCTTAAGGATGCTGTTCGTGTTATTCTCACGGTGAGGAAGCCTTTGGATGATGAACACAAGGAGAGTAACACATGATCGCTTTTGTCACCCTCGCCTTGGGCCAAGAATGATACACCACAACACAGTCAACTCGAAAACCTCTTGTCTCATCGTTTCCTTGACTGCATTATATTAACAAAATCTTTGTAACACAATGTCAAAATCAGCGTTACTGATCCTTGAAGATTGTTATTGGTTCCTTACGGCACTAAGGAGACCCAGTCAATACACAGTGAAGGGGAAGGGGAAACAATTATATAAGTCCACTTAAAAGATATACACATGCAATTAAAAAAAATTGTGATTTACTTCCCTGCCAAGCATTTACTTTCTCTCCCCCAAGAAACACTCTGACTTGAGCAAAGCTTTCTTTTCTTCCAACCTTAATCGGTGAATCGTTTTGCTATAAGATAATTTTTTCTACAAAATCTGGGGTTTGTGGTCATACAACAACCCTCTTCTGAACCGGCCAGATGGATGTGTTAAGCTTAAACTCTTACTCACAGAACCTTGCCATTGAAGGCAACAAACCCTTTGGTTAGTGAATGAATTCCGAGAAAGAGAGGAATGTGTTTATTTATTTGTTTGTCACGAACCGATAACAAAGACCAAGTAAAGTGCTTAGCCGTTCATTCAGTCTGCGTCATTATCGATCAAATTAGCGGCACTACGGCCCAAGTTAACCAGTCAGCCAATCAAGGGATGCGTCATCACTGGCCAGGTAACTGTTACCTTGGGCTAGATTTATTTATCATTTAATCGAAAAATTTTGCCAACAATGACTAAGGTTATCAATGACCGTGGATTAAGTTGACTGATTAGCTAATCACAGAATTTACGTTCCCAGAACCCGGGTGTCCTGACACCTATAGAGTTATGGCAGACCAAGACAAGAGTTTGAATCATTGACAATCCTCCCAATCAATAATTTCTAAAAAAAAAAAAAATATCAATCAGAAATTTCTTGGAATGACTACAAAATGCCCCTAGAGAAGAATCCAGCCCACATACCCTCACACTTCACCACAATATACAGTATATATGTCGCTCTATATCATAGACTCTAGAGAATTAACAAGACTCGTACAAGACAGTCGAGAATACATTGGTAATCGTTTAACAAGAAAACAAATATTACACAAAAATCTTAAAAAGTTGAAACAATCGCCATAATTTACGATCAAAACAGTTTGCCCGGTAATCTCCTGTTTGTAGGATTATTAATAATTATTTTTTCTTCAGATTTTAAAGTTCTACATAGTTTTCCAATACATGATTTAAAGTTCCACATCGCTGTAGAATCAAAGAACCACATTGCCTGCTGTAAAGTTTTATTATTCTTTTAATCAGTCATAACTGGCCTAAAATTAAACACAAAACTACCAATTGTACCGGTATGTTATGCAATGGTGACAGTTCAACTACAGACTGAAAATAAATCCCCCCAAAAGAATTATCTTGTTCTCTCAACGTAGATTTTGGCGAGTGGTTCAGACACGATTCTTTTAATAAGTGAAATGAAAAAAAAATAAAAAATATGTAAATTAATTTCACCTAACTGCAAACGATGATATGATACATACCAAAAGCTAATAATTATCTTCCAACAATTTTCGGGCTGGAAGGAGTTTATACAGTGTGACGCTGGGGAGTGCTTTACAGACATGCCACGAAGATATTCATAGAGACATCAAATAAATATCTCAAAAATGTATGCTGCTTAATATATTCACTTTCGGTGATTTTTTTTCAGGAAATTAGAATCGACAAATGCAAAAAAATAAAGACCAGAACTTTCCTTGGTTCCAAGTACTCTATTGGAAGGTTTAGTTTTCATGTAAGAATTATCCATATTTTTTATTCTTTGAAAATATTTGTTCTGATTCCTAACTCTGCTGTTTTAGATTAAAGTCTAAGATGTAACTGATGACCTTGAATTTAAATAAAGGATAAGGTGAGTCGACAGTTGGGGTCAACAGGTCTCCAAAGCACTCCCACCTGGTCCTCGACGTCCTTGAGGCATTTGGATTATTTGAGCTGGGGTGGGTCCCTCACGCACACACACAAACGTACATACATCATGTACACATTTATATACAGTCCAGGTACGCACAAGCGATTATATACAGCGAAGACACACTCTCATAAATACCACCAGGCTACTGAGGTGCTGACAGCCTCATGTCAGGAGGCTGACGCCCACCCTGGCAGCTCCACTCAGAGGGTTCAGTTCTTGCCAGGGAGGGAGGAAGGGGAAGGGGGTTGGTAGGAAATTTTTAAAACTTAATATCAGAAACTTCTACTTCTGCTCCAGAGGTGACCACTATAGTACGATACACAGTGGTGGTAAACGTTGGTGGTGCGGGACAAAGGTTACTAGCCCGCGGGACGCCTGCTAGGAGTGACGGAGAACTGGGTAAGGCTGTCGTAGCACTGCTCTCCACCTCTGAGCTCTCCATACTGAGAGACGAGGTCAACTCCGGCAGTATTTCATTTTCACTCTCATCCAGGACTTCTTGGCTATAGAAGTCTACCCACTTCTGTAACGAGTGAAGCATTTGACGCACTTGGTTGGGGTCTAAAGTTTTCAGAAGATTTACGATCTTCTGTGGGTCTGTTACTGGAGGCATCTCGGGGATCCTGGTGCTCGTTGATGACACAGTAGTTGCAGTGGATGAATATAATTTAGTCATTGGTTGCTCATTTACATTTCTGCGCCTTCGAGAGGAGCCGAGAGACCGAAGGAGGATAGTTTGAACTCTTGTGTGGAACTGGCCAGGTTCAGAACCACTGATGTACATGGTTAAGACTGTGCTCAGACCTCCACCTACAGGTGAAGGTTCTGGGGTCTCTGGGGGCTTCACTGGGACTTTGGATCTGTCCTCTTGACGTATACCCCCAATAGGTGGTATAGAATTAGTGGTCACTCGGGGTCGCGGCATACTTCTGGAGCGAGGAGGCGAAGACGACCCTCGGTCTTCCAGGTTTCCGCGGCGCCGTGTAGATATTTCACGGTCACGTCTTTGGCCAAAAGGTCGGAATGAAGGCGTCTCTTCATCGAAATACTGAGACTCAACAGCTGGAACGAAGCGTGTGCTTGGAGCTCTGCCGCTACTTCCTATGGTGGCGGGTCGCCGCTGATCACTGGTCCTTGAGAATGTGCGGCGACGATTTGAAGCAGAAAATCTTTCGTTTTCTCGAGGACTGGATTCTGTCGTGCTGATGCCGTTGGTATCAACTCTTTCTTTTCGATGAAACTTGCTGTAGCGCGTGTCGGTCGCCGCCCTGCCCGTGGATGATGATGATGAACCACCAGAAGTCACACTAGCCACACGGTCACTGAGGGTAAAACCGCGCAGCACATTGAACTTCGGAGTCTCTTCCACTGGATCTTCATAATCAGTGTAATCTTGCGGTTCACTGAATCTACTGGCGCCAGTATTTCTGTTCCTGGATGGAGGACCTCTGAAATTTCGGACACCGCCATTGCTGCCGCTGCTGCTGCCGCTGCTGCTGCTGCTGCTTGGGCTGCTGGAGGTCGTTGAGTCACTGAAAGGATCACCTCCCGCCTGCTCGTCATAATTCTGGAGCAGTGAAGAAAGTGCTGCCAACATCTGACTGTCAATATCTGGACCCTGTAAGCCACCTGTTAGACTAGTTAGGTCTAACTGCGACAGGTCCAAGTTAGCCAGATCTAACCCAGTGGCGTCCAGGTCCAGTGTGGAGGTGGTGGTTGGCTCGTGAACGACGGAGGTGGCCCCTAGTGTCACATCGAACACCGAGTATTGTCCATTGAGGCCTCGGGTCCTAGTCTCCGTCAGGGTGATGTGTACTGGCAGCGTCTGGACTATGGAGGGCTGGAAGACGGAAGACTCAGTGAAGTACTCAGTCGCCGTGATCACCTGCAACATACCACCTCCTTTACTACAATTGATAGACAATAACATAGTCATACTACTTGATAAAATACTAGTACAATAAGATTAAAAATAACTGCTCTAAAAAGTGATACCGCAAGTAATAGTCCAAGAATGTTAACCAGGAAAATACTAAGAGGTTAGTACTAAAAGAATTTATTAAAAGCTATTGTAAAATTAATTGTATTGCTTACAAATACACAAACATATATAATTTTATACGTACGTGTGTCTATGCATGTTTGTTTTCAGAATATTTTATAAAAAAACATGTTTTTATCACATATTAAATATTATAATGTAAAAGGTGAATATTAAGAAATTTAATATATAACTAAAAACACATTAAACTGTATGCGAAACTTTTGTATATGTGTTTCATCATTGTCTTTAGGATTATGTGTTGAAATCCATTGTCTGCTAAACTCTGATGGACCTACAATACCCTCTTGGAGGTAAGAATGTGAGGTGACACAGTACTGTCGGGCGACCGTGTGGTGCAGCTATCCGACATCTGCTGGACAGGAGAGAGGTCGAGCTGGTCTAGACACTCTAGAGTTAAAAGACAAGGTCAAGCCGAGTCAGTAGAAGTCAAGTGGTAGGGACAGGTCAAGTGGTAAGGACAGGTCAAGTGGTAGGGACAGGTCAAGTGGTAAGGGAAGGTCAAGTGGTAAGGGCAGGTCAAGTGGTAGGGACAGGTCAACTGGTAAGGACAGGTCAAGTGGTAGGGACAGGTCAAGTGGTAAGGACAGGTCAAGTGGTAGGGACAGGTCAAGTGGTAAGGGAAGGTCAAGTGGTAAGGGCAGGTCAAGTGGTAGGGACAGGTCAACTGGTAAGGACAGGTCAAGTGATAGGGACAGGTCAAGTGGTAAGGACTGGACAAATGGCGTCTTTGTCTCACTTGTGATATGTACAGACTATTCCAGCGTCCTATAGGCATTGATTATATAACAACTAGTTTAAAAGGATCCGGTTATATACATTATACAATAACACCTTTTGATAATTCCTGTGACGGTATTGTGTGTGAATTGTATGACTGACATACTGAGTTTTAGTATGTGCGTGCGGGTAGTGCACGCAAGAAGTTAATAATAAGTGACAGATAAACTTTGTGAGTGGCAAGTTGTTACTTATCCCACAGTGTCGTGGAGGAGTGACGGCGTGACTGCCCCTCGGCTGCCGCATACCACCTGCAGCTCCAGGTAGGTCAGCTTAGGTCACCTGCTGCTGGTTCCTAACACGTCAGTAATGTTCTGGGAAAGACGCGAATGTCCCCCTCCTTCCCTGACTCATCAAAGCATTGACCGAGATCATTCATCCACCCACATCCTCCTCCTCCATTTACTCACACTCATACTCATTTCCGCCTTCCTCACTGAGACTTTTTAAACTCTCCTACATCTTACATCATACTCTACACTCACATTCACCCTCGACCTACTGGGTGGGACTAGGATAACGCTACCGACCAACCCACAAGGACACTACAAAGCAGTCCTAGACTCTGTTATATTTCACACAAAGCCTGTTCATCGAGCTGATGGCGCCGTGAACCTCATTGGGAACTGCCCGTGCCTCTTATGTGGTGTCAGTAGCATTTTACCGAATCCAGTTGGTATGAAACACGAGGTACCGTATATATACTTCATTTTTAGTCCATATAACACGCGGACTTAGAACATATAATCAACGACCTCACTAGCCAGGAATCGAACCCTCGACCTACTAGGTGGGACAAGGACTGCTTTGTAGTGTCCTTGTGGGTTGGTCGGTAGCGTTCCCTAGTCCCACCTGGCTAGTGAGGTCGTTGATTATATGTTCTAAGTCCGGGTGTTATATGGACTAAAAATGAAGTATATATATACATATGTATGTGTGTGTGTGTGATACAATACACATCATCCGATTTCTAGGGGGGGGGGCATCAAGGCAGAAGCTGTGCTGCATAACAAAACAGTCTACTCTTCTAAGTCTTAATGCGTGTCAGTACTCTGCTGTGGTAAAAATTACTCCAAATCTTACACACTCCAGGTGATTCGGCGTCCACTGACAAGAATCTGGAGGAGATGCTGAGAAATCGAGCAATTAGTAAAAGAGCTTATGTCCATCTGAATAGTTAATAACTTAAGTGCACAACTCAAATGGAAGACTTAGTACGTCTCTCCTTGACCATCCTGTGAGCTTCTTGTACACCGGCCTGGGTCCAGTACGTCGGAGCAGCAGCATCATCAGTGGTTGTACTTGTGCTCACCGGTAAACCAAAGGACAACAGGTGTGACCAACAACTAGTCTGACCCAGATGTAAGGTCGCGACCCTAAACTCTTGCACCAGTGGCCGAGGACGTCATTATCAGAGTCAGCCAGTCACACGCGCCCTTGCTGACGGTGGTGGACGTATAGTACCTCAGTCTTCCTCTTCGTTATTCAGGTAGGTCAAGCAGGTCATTGTGTAGTAACTCAAGTTAGATGATGTCTCTCCAAGGTCCAGATGAGTGTCGTTCATTTGCTGAAGTCGAGTCACCGTAGTCGAAGCTCAGTGACACATCGATAGGTCTTCACTATCAAAGGTAAGATCACTCCGGGTCACAAACAGTCAACCAGAATGGCTGGATGTTTCCGAGAACAAGGTCAAAAGGTCATCTTCCCGGGGGAGTAATGAAGGTCGTGGTCAAAGTCAAGTATAGTAACTCGACTCTCTCACCTCCTCATTGGACTCTGTGATGGTGGTGGTGATCTTCGAGCCGCGGAAGATGACGGGGATGACCTTGGATTCAACGGAAGTAATAGTGGTGACGTAAGAGGTGGTGGATGTGGTGAACTGCGTGGTGGGCGCCACGTCCACGCTCAGCGTCGTCACCGTCTTGGACACCCTCGTCACCGTGGTGGTCGCTGGTCCCTGAAGAAGAACAACACAATACTTATGAACCTGACACTGACCACATCTCACACACTACCATAAAAGTCGATTACAAAAGATAGTTCATCTCCACGTTGTTGTTTGTGGTAAGAAATCTTATGAAAAACTTAAGAGTGGCCGACAAAGCATAGGCCTATAATCAAAATAACATAGCAGTGATTCATGCAGCAGGGGCAAATAAATGACTTGATTCACTGTAACATGAATTATTAACAGAGGTGGCATCAATATAGTTTTCATTAATACTAAACAATATATAAATGTAACCAATAAGGCACGATACTCTGGTTACACAGACTAGATAAAAATTCTACCATTTATCATTTTTAAAGTATATGATCAACAGAATTTACGACTGGTACATCTTACCTGTTGTCCCTGAACTAGGATGGTAGTTCACCACACAGGTGAACACATAACAAAACTATTGTGTTGGAACCTTTGAAGGAGAAATATGATGTGGAGAAAGTGACTGGCGAGTTGATGATACAAGGATGGAGGCATCAACAGTAGGAGTCACTGGAGGGTGGCAGTATCAACAGTGGCGGGGCCAGTGTGTTTACTGAAGAATACACAAAACTCGATGTACTGTACTGACCTGAGAGCCGAGTAGGGCAGCCAGCTGAGGGTGTGAACTGGATGGGCCTCCAGGGATGCTGCCGGATAGGTACTGATATACCAGCAGGTTAGTTAGGAAGTCCTGGTTTTGACAGGTCCCATCTGCTCCTATTCCTACATATCCTCCCCCTCTGTCGCCTCCTGAAAAACATGACAACAAGGAGTTAGTTCAAACCGGATGATACGTTAGTGGAGATAGTCATCTAAGTGTAACTTTCCAAGCTTCTACTTTTAATATATAACTAAAACAGGTAATTTTTTAACTTCATTTTAAAGATACAGGGAATTATAGTGAAGATTAGAGACTCCAGCTTATTTCACCTAAAGCTTAACGAGATCCTAATCTAAACTAACCTAACAACACAAAACTTAAGCTAACCAAACTTAGCCTACACCCCCCCCCCCCCTGGTAGCGTTAAGTCGGTTAACTCTTCAGGTGAAATAATCTAGGATGCCTAATCTTCAACTGATTCGTTACAGGTGTCCTAAGTTAATAATTTAAATATTTCTTCTGATTAATATAACAAGATATAAAATACCTGTAATTTAAGTTATTAGTGGTTTGTCAACTTTGTGACACTATGTGCAGTCAACTGCAGAAATTGTCCAAATCCAACTGCATGATATGAGGCAGGGGATCTGGTAACACTGTATGGGGAAGAGTTGACAGGTATGTTAGGGGAGGGTTATATTGTGTGTCGGTGCAACGGATGAAAGAGAGAGAGAGAGAGAGAGAGAGAGAGAGAGAGAGAGAGAGAGAGAGAGAGAGAGAGAGACTTTACTCTTTATTTTCTTAACGGCTGAACAGAATATCTACGGGTGCCACTGCTCTCCTGGACTTTATTCTCCATAAAGGTGTTCTCAGAATTTATCCTTTATTTTTTCAGGTGTTCATTTTTTATCAGGGTCCTATTACGTTGTCCCTGTGTGTCTTTTTTTTCACTTTCTTAAAAACAGTCAACAGTTAATCGCCAAATCTTCAATTCTGAGTCATTTAGCTTTAGATCTGGCAGACTTGTAATTTGGTCCTACTCCCCGACTCTTCTTTGTCTTTTTTTGTCTATTTTCACCTTTTTAGGGATTGTGGTGAGTCAGAGATAGCCACAAAACGTATACATTGAGCTGGTGTTCGGTCATATTTACACCAATTAAGATGAAAGTTGGTATGTCCGTAGCGGCAGTGAAGGTGGTGATGGAAGTGGAGAGGAGCTTTGTCGTCGGAAATCACTCGGTTTCTACACGACTCAGGTATCTAGGTCGTGTAAGTTGGCGACCAAGTAGTGTCGTCTCCTGGCGGTAAATAATGACATCCTGTACACGCAGCCGAGTGTAAATGATTATTTATAATCACAGTAAATCATACTCTAGGAGACTTATGTGGCTGTGAAGCACTTGTGTCTATGTGGAAGCCCCCCACCATGAACGAACGTGGGATTACAAGGGTTCCGGTGACACACACACACAAAAATAATGGGATTCTTGGTGTTGACACATATGGCCACTTGTAAACCACGGTGCAGGAGGCTATGAAGCTTCTCGTGAGAAAACCAGATATTTGGTGACGTTATTATGTTCACGAGAGCATGAAACGAACTGGTTAACCCGGAACGATAAAAATGGTAATCATGAAAGCCATTAAGAAGAATCCCTGACACCAGCTTCCCGGGTCAGTCGTTATGGTGCTGAATAGGGTCTTGGTCACCTGGTCTAGGGAGGATAATAAATTGGAGTATTAAATTCCTAGTATGAGGTGTTTCGTCGCACCTATGTTGACCACAACGAGACCGAGAGGAAGACAGTAGGTGAATCAACAAAAATGATTCGAGGTTTCAACCCGAATCAACAAACTCTAAGACTAGTGTGTCGGGGAGTAGATAAACAGTTACCTTACCTGAGTGCTTGTGGTGCATGCTTGTGTGGATATATTTCATACGGATTTATAATTAACGAAAAAAGTATGAAATTTGTAATTATTGCTAATAAGTGCGTGTCGCAAGATACTTAATGAAGTGGGTTGTAGTAGATACATAAACTAGTATGAAACCAGACACCGGACAGTCGGATGGGCCAACCAATCAGAAAAAAAATCAGTAAATTTGGTGAGATACAAAAATTAAGAGTAAACAAAGAATTTTAAAGTCGTCTTCGAGTAAACTTAAAGCAGCATCAGAAGAATGGATCACCTGAAGTTTGCCCATAGCTTATTTCACCTGAAGATTAACCATTCTAACCTAACCCAACCTAACCTAACCTAACTGGACCTAACCTAATCATCCCAGATAGTGTCATGGTGGCTAATTTTCAAGAGACTTAATCTTCAGGTGATCCAGATATATCAACAGCTGCTGTACAGCCACACAGACAACACGGAGTTTTATGCGACCACAGACAATGTTTTTTTTTTCAAACCAGTTTTCAGTCTGACAGTCATAAGTATCAGCATTTTCACTTTTATGCCCAAACCAGAGCGTTTTTTAGCATAGAAAAAAAGAAAACCGGTAGCGGGGAGCCTCAGGGGGGGTGACTTTCATCTGGAGTGGTGATCAGTTGAAGCCCAAAACAAAACAGTAGCATAGGGATCTTGTAACTTTTACTTGGCAGTCGATGGTCAGTTCTCCCACCAGCGTCTATAACGGGAGATACGGAGGAGTGAGAGTGATGATTTGTGTCCACCATCTCGCCTCGACGACCCGCTAATAAAAGTGACGCCTCGATGCCTCTCTCCCACCCTACATTATGACGGAGAGGTGCGGTGAATTGTGGTAATGACATGGTTGTACACGTAAAGTTAATTGATCAACAGTGGGCGTGCAACAAGAAGACACCAGACTTAGTAATGGCGGTGTATCACAACAACCGGTAAAAGTTCAAGCGATATCATCTTCTTCAGTGTGTTTATAAGTATTTACTTAAAATCCAGTTGTAAAAGGCAATAATCAGAGATGTCTTGTGTGTCCTACAGAGCTTAAAGGCTATAAATGATGACTTAATCAGCAAGACACGAGGGTAATATAACGAGGCCAGGTGTCGCCCTCTTGTGCGAGATATCCATTAATCTGGGGATAAGTGTATTATAAAACAAACCTTCTTATAACAGGTAATGTTCTAAATCTAATGTGTAACTATACCTAACCTACGGTAATTTGTAATATTTTAGGAGACGTGATGGTAAAAGGCATCTTTCTGCAGCCATATTCATGCCTCTTATAATTACTGTCATATCCATTCAGAAGTCATAGAAAAGATTGTCATAAACGACTTTAACTCTTGATACTGACACAGCCATAGGAGCGGCAACTCATATAGTCATTAGACAAGGCACTGGGAAGAGAGACTCACCCAGGAAACTTCAGGTAAAATAGTAGCACAGGTACACTTTTTCCCCAAATAGTTCGTGGAAACATTTCCCTCTTCCCGGGTTATATTTCCTAATGTTTACGGTCGCAGGCGCAAAAGCTGTGATCGGCACACAGGGGATACAAATTTTCTACCCGGGCCTTATCTTACGGTCCGAAGTCTACACACTCTCTCTCCCCTCCTTCCTTCCTCATGCCTCCTTTCCTACACAATCTATAATCCACATTCTCTCTCAATCTCAATTATTTCCCCCCTCCCCCCTTCTCAGTAACCCTCGCACACTAACACCCACCTGTCGCACACAAGCATCCACTTGTCACACACCATCACCAAATACCAACACTCACCTACTTCTTTACCTCACACGTCTCCAACATCTAAATGATCAACAACACACAACCTTCTCTTGATATCACCTCTCAGACGAAGAGGGTGCAAGGTTATCATGTTCTTCCAATGTTATGAGTCCTACACGACCTTAAATGGCCATTCCTAGTTACGGGAGAGAGGGGATACAGTCACTGAGGTCATGTTTTTCACAACAAGGTAACCGTGATGGGCAGGTTTATTGCTATGGAGAATATTTTCTTGTGTGTTAATGATCATCCCCAGGGATTAAGAAAGAGAAGAAAGGAAAATAAAGAGGATGAAAGTGCAAAAAAGGAGAAAGGGAAACGGAAGTAGAAGAAGAAAATAAAGGAAAATAACACAGAAGAAAGTTCAGATAAATTCCTCAACTGTGTTCACGCTTTTATTTTATTAGGTAATTGTCTCCGCGAAGGTGATCATCCACCCATACACTCCTCTCATCTGCCATCTCTTACAACCAACGATTTCAAAGTTCTTGGCAGTCAGTCACACTCGACCTTGGACGGCAGTTAGCACTTTCAACTCACACGATCAATCGATTTTACTTTCATACCTGGACAGGAGGAGGAGCGAATAACATCAGTAAGACTAGCGGGAATCAGCCGCTGAGGTGTGAGGACATGGTAGCCTGGAGCAAGGTTGAGAGTGTATACCTTAGTAATATCATAAAGATAAAATTAACGTCACCTCAACTCGCTCAACATTTAATCTAATTGTTCCTTGAATACCGTAAATAATCGATAGACATTGTGGATAGTTTACGTGTTAATTATTTCAAATCATGAAGATCCTGTTAATATACACTGTTACACGCTTAAACGTCTCGAGGCTCCACACACCTGACTGTACTGGTCCTCCAACACGGATTCATACAGTATTACACACTAACTGCTAGCTCACAGAAATCAAAAGTATTCAAACTGACACAAGACAATCGCCTGAAAGTATCCTACAGAAGAACGATATGAACAGTTTTTTTATTGAATTTATTAACTGATGAACTCAATTTTCTGCGTTGTTCACAAGACACTTGGCCCAACTGTCACAAGACGCTAAACAACTCACTGAGGTGACGTCGTTTTTGCTTCCTCCGATAACTGGGCACTTCCAATGCAGTCTCAACTCCGTCCGTATTCAATTCTAAACTCCATAAGAACACACAATTACGATTTTAGCCAAACACTTTTCATTAACAACAACAGTCACTAATTGCATATATTTTTGGGGCCTCTTGGAGATTTGACCTTGTAACAAGAGACGAGACGAGAGGTAGAGGGATGGCGCATCGGTGAGTCAGTAATATACACACCAAGGAACACACTATCACCGTTCTGTTAATGGGCCTTTCCTTCCCTGCCATACAGAGAGGTAAGTTAAAATAAACAGCAATACTCTTCTTACCTTTCTCCCTCTCTCATTCCTTAACACACTCTTAAGGTTAAAACAGACAGAAGCATGCAGTGCCCTCCCTCCATCCTTCCCACCCATTTTTACTCCTCCCTTCCTTCCCTACCATACACAGACGTAAAGTCAAAAGGAACAAACAGCCCAAACAAAAAGTACATACATATCAAAAGTTACTTTTTATACACACCTCACACGAGCCGTCCCAGAACAACTTTCACACACGACCAGTGGTTGACGTAGAGGAGGAGAAGGGGTAGGAGGAGGGGTAGGAATGGGTAAAGAAGAAGGGGAGGAGGAGGAAAGGGGCGAGTGACATTTGTGGTCGGTGCTAAATTTTGGTAGTAATGGTAAAGGAGGCGGGTGGCAGTTAAGGTCGATGGTATGTTGTGGATGTGAATGGTGGTGGTGATGGTAACAGTGGTATGATGTTGGTGGTGGTAATAGTGGTAGTTATGATGGAGGTGGTGGAACAATGGTAACGATGGTAGTAGTGGTAATGGTGGTGGTGGTGGTGGTAATGGTGGTAGTGATGGTGGATGTGGTGGAACAATGGTAACGATGGTAGTATTGGTAATGGTGGTAGTGATACTGATAAGGTAACGGTGATAATAACGATCGAAGTGGATTCATTCGGGAGTTATTTTTCGTGAGTGTTGTGAAGGGTAGTAACTGGCCTCACTACCCTTGTGTCCGCTATTTTGGGGTTCAACCATTGAGTTTAATGAGGTAATTAGTAGTAAAAGTTTAATGTCACTTATGTTAAATTACAAACTCCAGAAATAAATGACGATCAGAATATAATATAAACAATGTAAAAATCATACCCAAGAATTATCTTCCTTATCGCTCTACTTTACAATATATCATAATTTTCAGACATTTTATATAAACTGGCAGATAAATACCAACTCGACACTGAGCTACACCAGACATTGAGTGTGAGTGTCATGATTGGAATGTAGTTTTGACGTACCTGAGAGATATAAATGCAAATTAACATGAACATTCTACACGAAAAAAAATCGAGATGTGAAAGTTTGGAGTTGGAAAAAGGGAATACAAGGACAACTGTGCCAAGATCAACATAGTGCCAAGGTCGACACAGTGTATAGCAGCTGTTGGTAGTACGTGTCTGAGCCCCTTACACAAACACGGTCTACTTCACTCCATATATTAAGATCTGCCGCAGCTGGACCTGCCCGGCGACCACTGGGGCGACGTGGAGAATATGGTTGGTTATGGTGAGTGAGTGTGTACAGGGACGGGGTTAAAATGAGTGTGTGTGTGTGTGTGTGTGTGTGTGTGTGTGTGTGTGTGTGTGTGTGTGTGTGTGTGATATCTATATGGGGTTACGTAATTGTAACCCTTACTCGGAACAGAAAAAAACGTGCATTTTTTAAATAACATTCTTATATATGAAGCTATTTACTAATATAGCTTGTCAGGATCAGAACATATCTGAATAAACCCATATCTATCCCAAACTAATATAAGGCCAAGAAACACACGTTACTTGTGTCTTGTTCTGTGTGTCAGAATACATTACACCTCGTCACACCTTGAATAAACAAGAATATGAATTAGATTTTCTTGTTAGATAAGAATAGTTTTTTTTAGTTTTTTTTATAATTGATTGCTTATTGTTACAGTAAATACCAAGAGGTACTGAGTAAATACCAAGATATTTGTCGCTAGTTCTTTTTTGTGGGTTTAGTTAAGAGAACCTCATTGTGTAGGAAAGAATGACAAAATATATATATATATTTTTTTAAGCTGAATCAACAATCATGACCAGAATATAAGATCCACCCATCTCTCCTTATGTCCGCCCTTCACCTCACAGTCATCAAGAACTTCAGTGACCCATTCTTTGTGACCTTGAAGGAAAGGGGGTCATACCCCACCTGTCACTGGTGTTGGGTTAGTCATCAAGGTATCCCTGAGGAGGACATGACCGTACGCTGCCACAAGATTATAGCGAGTTGGTGATTAATTAGAACGACAGGTTTAGGTGGTGAGGCGCGACAGGTACCGAGGGGCGCCAGTCAAGGTCGAGATGTGGCAGCTTTACCTTAATATTATTACAGGTGAGTGACAGGTGTTATGTAATGAATGAGAACTGGCATCAGACTGTGTGTTAATAAAGGTACTCAGGTATATTAACCCACAAAAGTTATCATGTTTTAACTCTCACTGAAAAGCCAGAAGAGATCCAGTTTACTGTCGAAAAGTCGGTGTGCACCAACAATAATAAACAATACAGTTATTCCTTGTTATACCTGCACAGTTATACATAGATCAAGGTAAATCATTGTATTGTTAATTACTGCAGGTGCGTAGGGGACTCTCAGTCACCCTGTATCACCCCAACAATATATACAGATAAAAGTTCACATTAACCCACTTTTGTTTTAATTATACCAGACAGGTTCACGGCTCAACCCAGAAAGATCAGTCTCTTAATTGTTGATGACTAGTGTATGTACATTACTAACCTAGTCTAAGTGCTTAAAGACCCTTATTGTTAAAGTTAAATAATACATTGGTAGCTTAAGTGCAGCTGGGTGGCTGTGGCGACTCTGTGTGTGTGTGTGACGTCAACTCGGAGCGGTATGGTCGTAAACACCCACCTTACTGCCCACCTCCTGAGATAACGTGTACCATCACACTAATATCCTATGAAAACAATAAATGCTTGGCTACCGACCGTGCCAGGTAGTAGACAATTCATTCGTCTATAAGAATGTGATCCCGTCTATGATTGTCACAGCGGGGTACCTGGGAAGAGGCGAGTCATGCACCCTCTACAGTCTACATCTACACTGATGACAAGCAGTATATAATGGTTGATGGCAGATATAATGGTTGGTGACAGATATAATGGTTGATGGTAGATATAATGGTTGATGGCGAATATAATGGTTGATGGCAGATATAATGGTTGGTGACATATAATGGTTGATGACAGATATAATGGTTGATGGCACATATAATGGTTGATGGCGGATATAATGGTTGATGACCGATATAATGGTTGATGACATTAATATGGTTAGGTTAGGTTCCTTTAAAGAGATTTAGAGGAAACGGAAATTTTTAAAGCTGCCGAAAACTACTGATATTCACACTCATGTAATGTTTCACTCTCCAGGTCAACGATACGAACCCAATAATAATAATAATAATAAGACCAACACCACTATGGGGTTCACACTGCACCCTGTAGGTCAGCTTGTAATCTTGACGGATTACCCTGGCCTGTAGACCATCAGAAGCCTGTAAAAAGTGGCCCATTGTCTACAGCCTGTATCTTCACCACCGCCACCATTATCCTCCTCCCCTCCTTGTCCTATTTATTCTCCTCTTCTCATTCATTTTTCATCGTTTCCAAGCCCCATTTAGGACTTATTTCGTGAGTCCTTCTCCTCCACATCACCACCAATTATCATATTATTCTTCATTATGCTATTTATTTACTTTCTCTTTTGGTTTATTGTGTATCCTGATGTCTTTTCCCTTTCATGTTATCATCATTTTACTTCCTACCTATTACCCTTCACTTTGTTATCACTTAAGCCATTTTTCTCTTTATCCAATTTCGAACTTTCTCTTTAAACTCTGCTATCATCTTCTCTTTCACCTCCCGTCATCAAGTCTTCCTTCCCTGTTCAGAACTTGATGACGGGAGGTGAACGGGCTGTTCACCTTTCCTTCCTCACCTCTCCATCTTCATTAATCTTCTCATTTCCTTGTGTTTATTTCCTTCCGTCCCTCTCCCATTCCTTCACTCTTCCATTTACCCATTTACTTGAACCCACCACCTCTCCATTCACTTGAACTCACTACCTCCCCATTCAATTGAACCCCCCCCCCACCTCTCATTCACCTGAACCCATCACCTGCCTATTCCCCCAACTTTCTCAGAGACCATCACCAGTTTCCCCCACGCCCCGCAATCTACTTGTTCTGCTGTTCTCTAGGGGTAATCCTTCAGGGTCCGTCTGTTCGGCTACCCACCGTCTACTGGTAGGTTGGTGGAGAGAAGAGATGGTTTAATAAAGCACAAAAATCCTTCCCTTGAAAATCGTCCTTCTCAGTGAATTACTGTTGAAAAAAAAAGGGATTGCAGTAGGATTTCGTTTTTATCAGTGAAGGTGAAAGTGCGTCCCATATACATGACGGCCCATATAGGGACAATGTGGATACAGAATATTGTATATT